TAATAATGTAGCCAGTTTAGAACTTGTGTTGCTTAAAGAAGGCTCCACCCCCCTTTTTCCACATTCATTTCTCCTTTTCCACTTGCAATAGGCCAGTGTTTCTCAACCTTGGCCACTTGAAGATGTCTGGACTTCAACTCCCAGAATTCTGGGAATTGAAGTCCAGACATCTTCAAGTGGCCAAGGTTGAGAAACACTGGCCTATTGCAAGTGGAAAAGGAGAAATGAATGTGGAAAAAGGGGGGTGGAGCCTTCTTTAAGCAACACAAGTTCTAAACTGGCTACATTATTTTATTTCTCAAAGGTTCTGGGCTATCAGTTGGGCTAAGAGAGAGAGCTGGCCCCAGATAAATGACTAATAAGATTTGGAAGGTGCCTTCAAGCCATCCCTGGCTCCCTGCAGAAATCTCCCTCTTTGTTTTTCAGCTGAACTTGTGTCCTTCCCATCCCAGTCAAACATAATATAAAGAATTAGCAGCCCCTTAAGCTGCATCTGCTGTTGCTAAGGCAGAAAGCCAGCAGGTCATCCTTTTCATGTCCTTTCCTGACCCAAACAGCGTTCCCACCAGTGAGCCAAGTTCATGAAAGATTTCCAGCCTGGCTTGTGAAATATACTTTTTGTGGTTTAGTTTGATTTCTTTTAAAAGACTGTCTTAACGCTGCTGGTGCTCTCCCATGAACCAATCTTTCCTGTGAGTCACGGACCACTATAAAGAAATCACTGTTGGGATCAAAAGAGAGTTCCCATGCCTGGAATATCAAATGATCTTCTTTTTTATCTCCCCCCCCCCATCCACCCCCAGCCCTGCCTTTTTCAGCAAGAGATAGGAATGAGCTGAAGGCTTAGATGAATCATTGTTTATTAGCTTGACCTGAGAAGCCCTCCTTCTATCAAAAGATTTCTGAAAATAAGGGCATTTGCAGCCAGGCACGTGTGCAGGATGAATGTGATGCATAAATTCATTCTTCTACAGGTTACATTTAATATAATATATATATTACAGGAAGATGATGTGGTTAAGCAATCTGCATTTCAAAGACAATTGCCTTTCAAAATAGCTGATTAATTGACCAGAAATCCATCCTTTTAATAATCTCATTTAAGCTTATTGAATTTTAAATAATCTTGACATTTACAGATTTGTATTCTGTCAGCTTAATATAATCTTCTGTAACATGTTTCAGTCTGAAATAGCTGAAAAGGGAATAAATAGATCATGTAACACTTGCTTATTAAGCCACGTGGAAATATGTACATGTAGACAGTACTTTAGAAGTTTGTTTGCTGGTTCCACCACAAATGCGCGCACAACAAAAGCGCGCCTGACTAAACCGCGGTGTCTAAAGCGTGGTGACAA